TGTGCAGCCAAAGCCCAGGAGCCCGGGAGAGCCGCATCACCCGCCTCGCCTCCCTGCGGCTTCTCATGGAGACCATCGTGGCCTTCAACGGTCCCGTAAGTGTCACGGGGGTGTGCGCTGCGCCCCCAGCGCCGCRCCGGGGCCGGGGGGAAGGTGCCCGCGAGCTGCTGCTCACGGGGATCTCTGCTCTCTTGCCTAGCTGGGGTCGCTGACCCCCCGCATCGTGGAGGCCCTGCTGGCGGCGCAGGTGAGCGGGGGCTGCCTCTAGCCCAGGCCTTGCTGGGCAACGGCGGCAGCCACCCGAGCTTTGGGAGGGCTCCTGGCAGGGCCCCTTCCCACAGCAGCCATCTCCTCYGCAGGCACTGAGCACCGGCCAGCGCGTCCCAGAGCTGCTCGATTCCGTGGAGGGCCCTGAGGCAGCTCCAGAGGCAGCGCAGCAGCTCCCGGACACCTCTGCAGGTAGGACRGTGTCCTGGGCAATGGYCCCGAGCAGCGCCCGGCTCGGCCATCGGCTGCACGACACGTGGGGCGCTGSCYAGAGCGGCAGGGGCCCAGCACCTTAAGGCAGTGCCCTCCTCCTGCAGCACTGGCCAGACGTTGAAAGGGGCAGCACTGCTTCCCCCAAAGGCATCCCCCATGCTCGCCCTCCGTAGCCCTCTGCTCTTCCCAGCGCTGCTCCCTCGGGGCTGCAGCGGCCCTCTCCTCCTGCTCCATGCTGGCCGCACAGGCACTTGTGTCCCCTCCCAACCTGCCCCTGCCCTCCCTAGCTGCTAGGGTTGCACCTTGCCATGGGCGGGACTGGGGCCTCTCTCGGGGCAGGCGGCCCTTTCCCTCCTCAGAGGCCCAGCCCCAAGGGGCTGACAGCCTCTCTCTCCGCACAGCACATGCAGGAGCGGCTCTCCAGGACGCTGCTGCCGGGCCCTGCGCAGAGGCCGCAGCTGCAGGCGGCCCGACAGTCGCCAAGATCCYGCTACAGCCCAGAGCGAGACGCCCCAGCGGGACATTCAGAAATGTCCCCTGCGCCTCTGCCCCTCCACTGCCTCCTCAGCACGCACCGCGCAGGAGCCCCTCGGAGCCAGCCCTGGCCATGATGGGCACCTCAGGGGTCAGGAGAGGGGACCAGGGAGGCCCCAGGAGTGCGCACAAAGATGCAGCTCATCGCCAAGAGCTGCCCATCAAGAAGGAGGCCCCGCGAGAAGAAGCCTTCTTCCTGACAGATCCGCGGGTAGCCAACTTTGCAGCCAGCACCGCCTGCGGCTGGAGCCACGAGAATCCTGTGGCCCGCACTTCCCCCAGTCCTGCCGGCAGCTTGCGGGCCGCGAGAGCCCCAGGAAAGAGGAGGCGGCGGCGAAAGAGAAGGAGAAGGGGCTGGCGGAGGAGAGAGAGAGGAGGAGGAGAAGGAGACGCAGAAGGAGACGGAGAAAGACGAGAGAGGGAGGGCCGCAAAGACAAACTCGACGGAGAAGGAAAAGAAGGAGAAGGAGGAGGAGGAGGAGGCRAAAGAGAAAGGGCAGAGGAACAGGAACAAATGAAGAGAACTAACTAACTAAYTAAYTAACTAACTAAATAAATAAATAAATAAATAAATAAATGTGAGCCAAGAAAGGTGTAGTGAACAAAAGGGATAAAGAAAGTGAAGAGGAAAGAGGGGAGGGAAGAGGTTGAGGAAACAAGGGGGAGAAAGAGTGGTTACAAAAYGGGGGAGGCAAGAGGGACAAAAGAGAAGAAATAAAGAGAGCAAAGAAGGCTGAGCTAAGGAAAGAAGAAAAAGGAGGGAGAAAAGCTCAGAGGGTTGTGATAAATGGTGTTGAGTCTAGTTGGAGGCCTATGACCAGTGGTGCCCTGTTCAGCCAGGGGTCAGTCCCGGGCCCTGTGCTCTTCAGCCTGTTCATCCGTGACCTGGATGATGGGACAGAGGGCACCCTCCACAAGCCTGCAAATGCTACCAGAGTGTGGCAGGTGACTGACACCTCATTAAGCAACCAATATGCTCTAACACAACTTTTCAATATTGTTTTGATAAGGCTGATCCTGTGAAATATATGAGCTGAAGTCAGGTAACTGTGACACAAGTCAGATTTAACAAAACTGCCCAATAATCCAAATCCACCTCTAAACTGTGGTTCAACTGCTTATACTTGAGAACAAACTGTGCTCTCTTTAGCTCAGTTAAATAGGGCA